AAAGAGACTATTGACATACACTTGCATAGAACTAGAAAATTCATATGAATTTCATAGTTTAGATGATTTCACACTTTGAGCATAGTTTCTCATTGAGAAACTCAAAAGGAAAAGCAGGGAGATTTAGTCTAGAGTCTTTTTCTCATAAGAAAAATTGAAGAAGCTGAAAACTCAAGCAAAAGTCTCCATTTAATCTCTGTTTAATTTGATTTGGCTGTCTAGCCAAAGCAACGGAGATATTAAAGTCAAGATGAGATCAAAATTGACCCTGTTTACTTAATGCGCATTCCTGGACCTATTACGAACAATGCATCAGTGCATGTAGAAATTATTGTCATCATAATCGTTCATCAAAATATAATAACTTACTCTTCCTCTGCTTTTCTTGTCACTATTGAATAATGCTAACCAACAGCCAAATATCTACTTGTTTTTACTCCATTATGGTGCATAGCGCCTACTGTTCACAACCCAATCATTTCCCGATGGATAAGTCCCATCATGTTTCATCCAATACTTTTTATTAGTGAAAATCCTGTTTTACTCAGAAACATAACACATTAAAAAGCAAATGGATTGTGAACACCATGTTGACTTTAAAGAGGTCTCATTTGAGATTTTTATTTCCTCTGGGTATTTATTGCTCCATTTATTATCTCTGCTCTTTCTATTTAATCTTGCTTCTGTTCTTGTACAGTATTTGTACTCTTTTTCTTTTTGACTGCTCTGCATGCCTCACTTTACTTTACCACTGTATTTCTGTCTAACTATGCTCTCATTCTCTCTCCACATAGATGCAGAGCGTCATGTATGAGCTGATGTCTGAGCTGAATGACCGCAGTGAGGATCTGGAGAGGCAGATGTTAAGTCTGGAGCAGCGGGTGGAGCAGCTGACGGCCGGCTTTAACGTTCTGCCCGCTCATTTGTCAGCCACGCTCAGCGCCCAGCACGCCACGCTCATTCAACTATTGCGTGAGCGTGATGCCAAGGTCCTGAGCCCCACTGTGCCCTCTGCGCTCTCACCCACCGCTGCCAGCCTGCCTCTAGCCAACCCCCCCTCCGGCTCTGGCTCCGTCCCCGTCCCGACTCAGCCCACCAAGGACAGTCCCAACACCAGCAGCTCCAGCTGCTGAGAGCTCTGGTGCGGGAAGTTCCCTCCGGGGTGGAGAGAACTTGGATTAGTCGAAACGAAGAGATGACATAACCATACACACACATTCACATATGATGCACTGTAACTACGAGCATTACACAGCTTAACGCCACAGAATATACAGTATCACGATGAAGGAGATGCTGACATTTGCACAAAAACCCTATGACAAAACTGCCATATTTCATGTAGTCCACAAGACGGACGTACTCTACTGTTACCATGAATGTATACATTTTAGAAGACACTGACTCAGACATGTTAACATGCATGGACGCTCACTCACACACACACACACACACACACACACACACACACACACACACACTTTCTGTGATTCCGTCTTTGCTACCAAAGTGCTCTGTCTATAGGTGACTGAAATGGACTGAGGTGTGTGTTGCAAAACAAGGAACTAGGGTGGTTGGGATTAGAGAGAGTATAAATAATCAACAGCTGAGAATGTTATGAAATCTGGACAGCATTTTTTACAGTCTGCAAGAGACTAACAGCCATTTGAGCAAAGCATTATTTCGAAGAGCAACGCTGAAGCCATTCGATACGTTATAAAACCCACCCCATCAAGGTGGAACAGCTGCTCACACGGAAATAACTGTAGAATGAGTTATTATAGTCATTTTCTTAGTGGAATTGCTTCTATTATAATGGTGTTGGAATAAGAGACTATTTTACTTCTGACTCCGTTTAAATGGAGAGACCATTTTGAAAACTGACTAATAGTGACATCCTGTGGCCGGAATACTGAAGTACATCCGCTTGGAATATTGTACAGTATGCTACTACTGAAACTTAGCTTTGTATCGCTCCGTTTTTTACCATTAATAATTACTAACGCAGTTATAGCTCATATTTATTATAATTATACGATAGCCTTCTTCTCATTCGTCATGGAAATTATTATTGCTGTATAAATAACGATTTTATTCATATTAATTATAGGGGAGGTGCCGTTTGAGGTTGAAATTATTTTGTAATTTTATTTTACCAGAGATAATTAATAAAGTATATATCTATACATGACTGTGTCTGTGTGTGAGTATCATTGTGTGACTGACAAGATTTGCGTCTGTGAAAATGGTGCCGCATAGCCTTTTAGTTCACAATGCGTTGCGCCACGAAAATGACCTTTTTACATTTACATTAAATAACCTAGAGGATGTATAAAATTTATTCATTTGATCATTGACAATAATCGACTGCTTGATTTTATTATAAATCAATTTTTATTATAAAATTACATTATTTGTTTTATTTTTATTTTTTTTACTTGCGTATGTTTGGTTTTGAAAACACCGCCAACAGGTCGAAAATAATCGTTGAGCGTCTTGTAAAAACAGAGCACGGTTCTGGTGATGACAATCAAATCATACATTTTTTTCAAAAATCAACAGCGACAGGTGTCATTGTAACGACCAGTGCTGTTTACCAGCGACAAACATTACTCTAAATTGAGCTCTTAAAATTGAGACTAACTAGTTTGCGGTTTCTGCTCGTGTCCCTGCTTCGAAAATTATGTTGAGCCACCAGCAGTATTCAGTTGTGTATTGTAGTCGAGTTTAGAGCAGCAGTTTCAACATGCCTACGATAGAGAGAGCAGTTTGGGGGATTTTGCTAATGAGCTCATTGATTACACTCAGTAAGTCTACTAAACTGAACGTTCCCAAGTTGCTGTTACCTCTCAGCACTCATGTGCCTGTGAACATCACACTGACAGCACAGAGAGGATGCTACAAATGGTGAGTGACGGGGCATACTCGGCTTAACATGCCATTCTGTCTCATTACGTGCTGTCATGTCTGAAAGGTTATTAATTCAATAAGTTCATTTCTTCTTGCCTAACAACTAAATTCAAACAATCTTGTAGTGACATCATCTCCAGGGTGGAAACAGTTTGGTTTGCATGTATAGGGTCACTACCCTGCACTACTGTTCAGAATGCAGTTTAGTTTACAATGAATTGATATTATTACACAGGGCCGTCCTTAGCTGACGCGGGGCCCGGTGCGACCGCACTAGTTGCACCCCCCTAAGGACGGCCCTGTTATTACAGTATATCAGAAAACTTAAATTGCATTTGGTCTTGAATGCTCTTGAGACATGAGACTAAAAATATCCCACAACTTTATTTTATTTTTATTTTTTTAAATGGCCGTTTTCACTGTGAAATGAATCAGAGATTATCTCTAGAATGTTCTTAATGCAAATGTGCTATTTTATTTCCTCTTCACTTTATCAAAATTATGACATAAAGCATTCCACTGTTCAAAAGTTTGGGGTTGGTATGATTTTTTACATGTTTTTAGAAGTCTCAAATGTTCACCAAAGCTGATCAAAAATACAGTAAAAACAGTAATAATGTAAAATATTATTACAATTTAAAATGACTAATTTCTATTTGAATATATTGTAAAATATTAGGTATTCCTGTGATGGCCAAGCTGCATTTTCATCATGATGCAGTCTTCTGTGTTTAGTGTCACATGATCCTTCTGAAATCACTGTGATATGCTGATTTGGTGCTTTAAGAATTTTTTTTTATTATTATCCCCAAACTCTTGAAAGGTAGTGTAATTATCAAAGTCCTTAATCATGAAGGCCCCTTTCCCATATTCCACATGCTATGAGTTTTTTATAATTTGAAGTAACTGTGCTTAAATGTCCTTCATACAAAGTGATTCTGTGATGCATAAACTTTTTCAGTTTTGTAGCCTCATTATGTCAAGAATCAGCCAGTGGCAGATGTTCTTATTTTAATTAATTTTTTTACATTTCAAGCGTCTGTAAAAACAAACACATTCCTGAATTATTTGCAGAAAAGTATGTAGAAAATGAACAATATAGACAATACGGTGTTGCCTTGCAATCATGTGTCTGACTCTATTGCTGTCTGCCTGACTTTAGGGTGTCCTCTAAGCCTGAGACTGTCAGGGTGTATCCGCTCTCCGCTCTCAGCCCTCCGGCTCTGCTGCCCCTCTCCTCCTGCAGTCAGCAGTGCTTGGTGTCAGCTCTGTCCTCCCCCCAGGCTGTCCCTCTCCATACTGTGGTCCAGGCTCAAGACCCTGGTGAGCGAGAGGATGGGACAGTAATAAATAGACATGCTTTTTCTTTCTACTGAAGGACATATGGCACCGTTGCAGCAGTATAGGTTATTTTTCACAGGCAATTCAAATGAAATGTATAAAACATGATACTATTTTCCATATGAAATTAACCGACATTTTAATTAACAAATAAATGCTGAATGCACTCAGCTAGCTCACTCTTTGCCTCACTGACTGCTCGAATGAAAATGCAGTGCACACCATTTAAATCTCATTATGATTGTTCTTGTTTATCTATTAAAGGGATAGTCCACCCAAAAAAAAAAATCTGTCATCATTTACTCACCCTTATGTCGTTCCAAACCTGTACAACTTTCTTTCTTCTGTGGAACATTAAAGAACATATTTTGAAGAATGTTGGTAACCTAACATTTTCGATTCCGATTGACTTAATTTGTATAGACAAAAAAATACAATGGAAGTCAATGGGAACAGACATACTGACATTCTTTAAAATGTCTTCTTTTGTGTTTCTTTTGTGTTCCACAGAATAAATAAATAAATACATGTTTGGAACAATATGAGGGCTAATAAATTATGACAAATAATTATGATGTTCTGTTGAAAATTGTGTTACCATTTTTATGTTTGTGATCCTAAACAGAACATGAGGGTTCAAAATTGTGACTTCACCCATTCCCATTTTAGTGACAGGTCACATTCTGCGCTGTGATGTCATCACTAATTGGATTAAAAGGATTCAGGTTGTCACAACTGTTCGACAGCTTTTTACTGACGACCCACCCCTGCACTTATCAGTCCAGGCGTTTGACTCTGAAGGTACATTTCATTACCCAAATTTCTCTGGGACGCTGTATGTTTGTTTTGCTAAATGGATTTTTTTGGAAATAAGATGGTTATGACTGTGCTCTGTTCTTGGCCTGATCCACAGGAAATACTTTTAGCTGTCTGGCTGGCTTGAAATTTAATTGGCGGCTGGCAAAGGAGTCTGATGCAAAACAGGCAGTGAGGTGAACAAGGGTCTTTAAGTGAAGAGAGAGGGAGAGAGACAGGAAAAGTGCATCAACGTACAGCATGTCTTGTTTTCTGTGATTATCGTAGGTTTGTGCGTCACCATGATGCAGGGTACGCTCCCCCACCTCATATCCTGTCTCTAGAGGATGCCGGTCAGCGGGGGGAGAGTGTCTTGCTGTGTGGGATTCACAGTGGCTCAGCACTTATAAAAGTGTCTCTTCTTCACCCTGAACATAAGGTATGAAAACATATTCAACACCAAGCAGAATTATAGAATATAAAAATTCTGGCAGACGGTAATAATTATTTTTTTTTATAAGTAATGGTAATGGTAACCATTTAATGGGCAGTATTAAAAATCTATACTATATTGCCTAAAAAAAAAAAAAAATTAAGAGCATGCTAGAAATAAAAGTTTAAATATAAGTTATAGTTTTAAATGTGATGTCTACAAAGTGAAATTGGATATCACAACATTTTTATATTAGGTAATGATACTGCACAGGTCAATTGAATGTTAAAATTGGTGAAAATGAGTGTGCAAAATTTAAAATCCAATATCAGCCTATATACACTACAATTGAAAAGTTATTTTTGAATAGGAGTCAGGAGTCTTATTGGCATTTCAATTATGTTAGAATATTATAAAATAATAATTATAATATATTTATATACATTTTATTATTAATAATATATTCATTTTAAGTCATCATGTGGCCCCCTTGGAACTTTTTTGAAGCCCCCTAGTGGGCCCTGGCCTCTTGGTTGAGAACCACTTTCACAACTGTTTTCAATGTTGATAATAATAAGGAATGATACTTGATCACCAAATCAGCATATTAGAATGATTCCTGAATGATCTTTTGAACTGAAGACTAGAGTAATGGCTGCTAAAACTTCAGCTTTGCTATTACAGAAATAAATTACCTTTTAAAATATATTAAAATAGAAAACAGTTGTATAAATTGTAATAATATTTCACTGTATTAATGCCAAGTTCTGTCATGAAACTCTAGATGGCGCAGGCTGATGGGTCCTTAACGCAAACTGATGATATTCACAGCGTTAAACTACTTGGCACAAAATGATTGGTTCATGTTGCATTCGCAGTCAATTGGCTTGCTGCTTTACATTTAAATGGCTGGTTAGCATTCACTAGAGCATTTCGCAGCGTGCTTTCAGAATTACTCTGAAACCCTCCACCTTCCCCAGCTCCACCTGTATAGATCTACTACGGGTTATTTTATATGCTATTTGTGCAGCAGCAGTACGTCTTAAATACTCGCACAGCACTGTTTTGGCGTATGTACTGGCAATAGCAAGTTCCTGTACTTGCTTTGCAGCAGCAGCAGCAATAATCTACAACAACAGCAATAACCAACAGCAGCAGCAATTCTGCAGTGTAGCAGATCTATTCCGCCAAGACCAAATACATTAACATTGTCATATCCATTACCATGCTAAAATCTTCAGAGAGTTCTCATGATAGAACTGTTTACTGTATTTTTTTATGAAATAAATGCACCTTTGTTGAGCATAAGAGACTCAAAAACATAAAGCTTATACTGACCCTAAACACACCATATGTAGATGTACAAATTGTTTGTTTTGTAATTTATCTGCTGATCAATCAAATATTATGATGTTAATGGAAATATATTCTAATTTGTGTGTGTGTGTGTGTGTGTGTGTGTGTGTGTGTGTGTGTGTGTGTGTGTGTGTGTGTGTGTGGGGGGGTGTGTGTGTGTGTGTGTGTGTGTGTGTGAATGGGTGGGTGTTCAGCATGTAAAAGCAGCTAGTGTGACTTTGTTTGTGATAGACAGACTACACCTGAGTCCAACGGGAGATACATACCTGCTACAGGGATCCACCATCAGATACACTCTGTGGAAAACTTCTGAGCAAGAAGGAGAGACTGGTACAAATAACATCTATATACATCCTGCTGGTTTATGCTAGTTTACTGCTGGTTTAGCTGGTGGAGCAACATAGCCATATTGTTAACTAGCAAAAAGCGCTGATCAACCAACATGGTGAATATGCTTGACTAAGGGCAGCTTACTGGTTAAGCTATATAAGAGGTCTAGTGGGGACTAGAGACATAGCAATAATAAACTGATTGACTGGCCTTTTTTTTTTCTTTTTACTGATATTGGTCATTTGATGGGCCTCTCAACAGCATTCACAGGTGAAGTAATTTTTTTCATGTATTTTTTTGATAATTAATCAACCATTCATAACCATTCATTCTTATTTCAGAAAGGTCAGTTCACATCAAAGACGATAACTATAACTATAAAGTTTAAATAATCATTCTAAATCAATGAGAACAGGGAAGTCCATACTAGAACTATAAAGATTATAACATAGAAAAATTATATTGTTGGAATCACTCTCAGAAACATAAATGATCTTGAAAAGTTGATGACTCAACTTTTAAGAGCTTGACCATTTAATGCAGCAGACAACATAACTTTATCTAATATAGTTATCGTTATCTTTATAGTTATGGTTCTTGGTATGACAATTAGATATATCCCCAAACAAACAATATAAATAGTAAATCAATTTTCAACCATCTCGACTGTAAAAAAGCATAAAGAACAACAAAATAACAATTCAACAAATCATTATTTAGGTATTATTGCGTCAAATCCAGAAATAAAGTGATATTAAAAAAAATAATAATAATGGTTCTGCATCTTGGTTATCTGGACACCTAAACATGCAAAAAGTATTGTTGTCACAATTAAAAAAAAAAAGAAATCAGAAACAGCTTTATTGCCAAGTGTGTTTGCACATACAAGGAATTTGTCTTGGTGTCAGGAGCTTCCATTACAGAAAGTACAAACATAGTGCAGACATACATATAATTTAAGGTAATAAAAACACTAATAATAAAGAGAATAGACAATAAATGATAAATAACAATATAGTAATAAACTATAGAGAAAAAGAAAATGTCAGTAGACAGAATTGTGAATGTACAGAATTGTTCATGTTGAGGGGCAGTCGTGGCCTAATGGTTAGAGAGTTGGACTTGTAACCCAAAGGTCGTGGGTTTGAGTCTTGTTACTGGTAGAGATTGTAGGTGGAGGGAGTGAATGTACAGTGCTCTCTTGCACCCTCAATACCACAAGTGAGGTGCCCCCAACTGCTCCCCGGGTGCCACAGCAAAAATGGCTGCCCACTGCTCTGGGTGTGTGTCTGTGTGTGTTTGTTCACTACTCAATGCGAATTCCGAGTATGGGACACCATACTTCACTTGTCACTCACTTTTAAAATAGAATAAAAGCAGTCCAGCAAGGCTGGTCTTTTTATCACAACATACTGATTTAGATACAATGTTGTGCTTAAGCACTTCTGTTTATAATGCTTTGTCAGACTTGATAGTTCAGGATTCAACACTCTGTCACTGACAGAAGAAACTTTAAAAATGTATGTATGGTGTTTATTATTCAAGCGCTGTGGGATTGTTGGAAAGATCATGGAAAGGTTAAGCTCTGGGCTGTTTTAAGCTTTCCAAGCCAGTTGAACGCAAGAATCTCATATGACAAGTCACTTCAACATGTTCTTCACATAAACACACACTCAAGATAACCAGTATGCTACTGTAATGGCCTTTAAACTGCGTGTTATCACTATAACACCCTAACCGCATGCTTTCACACCTCTAGACCAATTATATACCATCTCATAAACACATCATGGCATATGTCAGGAGAGATATACTACACTTTTAACACCTGCATCTAATTGCTCACTCTCCTTTTTGTTTGTAGAGGTCACTCTGTCTGAGGAGGGATACGGCCTGGTTGTGGACGGATACAAGGGCATGATCTCTGTTGAGCGGGAAACAGCTACTGTCAGCGCCCTCAAGCTGGGTCATGTGACACTAACGGTTACACACGACAGTATCCGACACAACTGTGTTTTTCATTGAAACATTATGTTGTGGGGCATATGAGTATATTGTTATGATTCCAAGCTCAGTTGTGATTCAGATCTGCCCCCTGAAATAACGTCCCAACTCCCTCGCACTTCTGTATATGTGGTGAAGCCCAGCTATATGAGTGAGTTACACACACAACACACAGAAAATATTTTAAACCACACACCTGTATTAAGGTTTAGTTACATTTGTCTGTGTGTCTCAGCGTTGAGTATTGAGGAGGAAGAGGACAGATGGGTGTTGGAGACAGGGCGGCAGTATTATTTGACTGTTCGTATCCATGGCAACAAGGGCCATGTGGTTCACCTGTCACAGGTTGTGCTTCATAGTCATCAGTTTATGCACTGTTTGCTTCACTGCATCTCTTGACAGGAGCATAACGTCTGAACTTTAACCCTGTGCAGAATGTGGTGATTGTTGTGGAGGAGACTGAGGGGTTAGTGACACTCGAGTCTTTGTCTGATCCCGCCTGCCATCTCCTTCAGACCATCATGAAAGGAAAGACTTTAATACAGGCCTCACTTTATAGCATCGTCTCTGAGGTAACACACTCACAAATATATACACGCTAAGATTTGATAATTAATTGGTGCAGGAATTTTATTTTTTTTTTAATCTTTCCTTAGAATGTAATAGCCTTTTCTTCTTCTGAAATGACTTTCTATTTCTGCTGATGTTACTTATGGATAATGTTAATAAATAGTCAAATGGCAAATATATGGGCATTGTTTTACAAAACTCACATTCAGTCGGCTCCATTCTGGTATGCAACAGCCAATTTCAATCCAGTCAATTCATTATGGATTAAATTACATTTTATGTGGATGAACATCCTGTTTCACTTGGAAATACATCGCATTAAGCAATTAAAATGCACACACACACACACACATATATACTGTATTATATTAAAAAATATGGGGTCTGTAAAATTGTTTAATGTTTTTGAAAGTAGTCACTTAAGCTCACCAAGGCAGCATTTGTTTGATCAAAAATACAGCAAAATTGTAATATTGTGAAATATTATTACAAATTAAAATAACTGTTTTCTACTTCAATATATTTTGAAATGTAATGTATTCTTATGAAGGCAAAGCTGAATTTTCGGCAGCCATTACTCCAGATCATTCTGATATACTGATTTGGTGCTCAAGAAACATTTCTTATTATTATCAATGTCGAAAAAAGTAGTGCTGCTTAATATTTTTGTTGACATCCTAGGGGATGTTCTGCAAAGCTTGTTTGACCAAGCAGTCATTATGGAGAATAAAGCTTAGCGAATGGTCTATTTTTTAGTCAGTGAGCTAGTTGTACTTTCATGTAGACCTCAATATCAATGCTTACTCTATTGCCAGAACCCTATAAAATGGTTTTACTGAAACAATTATTTTTCTGCTGGTCTTTTTCCCTGTTGGCCCATGGGTTTAATTATACAATACTAGTGTCATCAGTAACATGTCAAGTATCTTACTTCTGGGGTTTTGTTCAGTTCATTGCTCAGTTTGAGGGGAGCAGTAGGTTATTTCACAAAAGTGAAGTTCATTCTTATTGAAGTAAATGGCACAAGCTGCTTGCAGATCTAGAGGGGAGCCCCATCTGAGGGGGTATGATAAGACAGCGAGCAGGAAATGAGGACACACACTGTGTGAAGTGTAAAGAGATGCATGGGGTGTGTTGGGAAACCCATTGTTTAAAAAGGAAAAGACAGCGTGTTCCATCTGCGGGAGGCACTGTGGTGGCAGAAGATGAAACCCGTCTTGGGGGGGGGCAGTTTTATTGGGTCATCATGCAGGTGTTATGGTTCTGTAAGATGAGCTCCAGGGGAAACGTTACTCATTAGTTTCGGTCTGCAACTTTCTGTCGATCCGTGCTCACATAGAAGGATCATCCATTAGATTAATGGGACAAAAAAGGCCAAACTGCCTCCAAGTGAAATCATCCTTTAGGCAGGCGTAAATTTTCCTGTCAGACCTTCAGAACGCTGAGGTGCTGCTTTGTGGTTTGTCTGGCTATTCAGCTGATTAGCATCAGCTACATCAGTTTGGGATTTCCCAGCCTTCTTAAAGTGATATTTACCTAGAGTTTGTGTCTGCAACATGTTCTGCTACAGTGGGGAAAATATTTATTTGATCCCCTCGCCTGGGGTAAGGATGATCATGAGAAAGGTAAGGGATCAGCCCCGAACTACACGGGAGAGGAGCTTGTTAATGATCTTAAGGCAGTTGGGACTACAGTCACCAAGCAAACCATTGGTAACACACTACGCCGTAATGGACTGAAATCCTGCAGCGCCCGCAAGGTCCCCCTGCTCAAGAAGGCACATGTACAGGCTCGATTAAAGTTTGCCAAAGAACATCTAAATGATTCAGAGAACGCTTGGGAGAAAGTGCTGTGGTCAGATGAGACCAAAATGTAGCTCTTTGGCATTAACTTGACTCGCCGTGTTTGGCGGGAGAGAAATGCTGACTATGACCACAAGAACACCATCCCTACAGTCAAGCACGGAGGTGGAAACATTATGCTTTGGGGCTGTTTTTCTGCTAAGGGTACAGGACGACTTCACCACATTGAGGGGCAAATGGACGGGGCCATGTACTGTAAAATCTTGGATGAGAAAAAAAAATCTTCCCTCAGCCAGAACACTGAAGATGGGTCATGGATAAGTCTTCAAGGATTACAATGACCCGAAACATACCGCCAAGGCAACAAAGGAGTGGCTCAAGAAGAAGCACATTAAGGTCATGGAGTGGCCTAGCCAGTCTCCAGACCTCAATCCTATAGAAAATCTGTGGAGGGAGCTGAAACTTCGAGTTGCCAAACAACAGCCAAGAAACCTTAAGGATTTAGAGAGGATCTGTAAAGAGGAGTGGATCAAAATC